GTGTGTGAGGGGGGGGGGGGGGGGGGGGTATTATTTGTGGTCCTTAGGACCTAAGCCAAGAACTGTAAGTTTTTTTCTCAAAAAAAAAAAAAAAAAAACTAAGCCATGAACTCCTAACCCTAAGCAATATAGGTAATACTGCCTTAAGTTCTAATCAATCGAAATTTGTACTTCACAAATTTGTAAGAATTACTTGTGGCCTTCCAAATTGCAAACCATGGTCTAAAATTTCTTAATAATCCTTTGAAAATTGGCCAATTCCAAATGACATGATGGGATCTAGAGCTCAAATCTCACTGATGACTGGTGAACCCATTTCCAAATTCCATAATAGCCACATCTAATAGTCACAAATGGCCACATCTAATAGTCACAAAATAGTTTCATAAATTTTATTTTAATTTTATATTTATTTGAAATGTAGATATAGATTTATTTTTTTATGGCACAACATATAAATCAAAAAAATTAATCAAAATCTTTGATGTACTTTATGTGTATTTTGGTTAAATTTTTATTCATTACATATTTTTATTATTTTATTTATATGAATATATCTATAGCTCAAAAATCTTGGGTAAGCATTCTTTTTCATCCTGATCACTGCATACCTTTTTTTGGAGTAAATCCAAAACAATATATCCTCTGTATAGAGCTTTTATTTGATTTATGAACTCCTTGCATACTTTATCTCTTTTTTGTTCGTTTGTAAAAACCCAATAATTATACATATTTTTATCTTTGGGATATAATTCTTTCATACCACATAAAGACATTTTTTTTGTATCATTTCCCAAAAAGTCGATAAATTGAGAGGATATGCGAAAGATATTACTTGTTTTCCATCACTTAGACATGTGTTAAAAAAATATTAAGATATTTTATTTTTTACAGTATTTACAAATTAGTCATTTTCTATATATCGAAATGGTCAATTCCATCGTTTATAGTCGAAAATAAAAGTAATAAAGGGTTTTCCAAAACTATACTAAATTTTTTCTTTCAACTCGTGATCTTCAAATCTAGATAAATATCATTTTACTTTTAAAAATAAAATATAAACATTTTTTGGGTCATTGGACGTTACTAGGTTCAATATGAACCATTGAAATGTATTTGTGCACTATCCAAGCATCCATGTCATGCAGTATCTATTTGTCTTTTTTGTAAAAAAACAAGGTCAAAGTGTTCTCGTACAAGCCTAGAGGGGAGGAATTATGGTCCCCCCTCATTCAAATAGGTTTGTCAACAATTGAGGTAGAAGTTAATATTTAGGAAATTTATGAAATTATTTATTTATTTTTATGTATTTTAAAGAAAAAATACAAAATAGGTTATAATTAATCACGAGTATTAGATGTGAAATTAGACGGCCGCATTTTTTCATTAAACAAGCTTAAAGTTTAAAAGACTTTCTTTCGAACTTTATGACTCACACAAGCTATCAAATTTCACATCCAATAATTATAAGTTATTGCAACCTACTTAAACTAAAAGTAAATAGTTGTATACAATCATTTTCAAGCATCTCAAGTATTTTATATTTTAATTTAAAAATCTTACATTTTTTAATACTTTTTTTACTCTTCTCAACCAACCTTTTGTTAGGAACTCCAAATTCAATTGTTTACATTAAAAAAAAAAAAATATTCAGACCAAGTTTGGGTGAGACACGAGTTCCAAACTTGGACTTCCCAATCGGTAATTCTCTTAAAAAAAAAAAAAAAATCTATACGAATATAGCACTCACACTTGTATTTTATTTAGTGAAATAATGGGGTTGGAACTTGGTTTCCAAACCCATCTCTGGTTTGCTCTTTTGTTAAATTGGTGGGTTATGGAACTTTAAGTTCTGAATTCTTGTTTTACTTAGGATATTCGGATTGTTTTTTCGCACAAAAGAAAAAGAGTTGGTCTTGAACATTGGAGTTTTAAACTAATGGTAATTTTGAAAAAAAAAAAACGATAAAGACTTGAAAATAAATTACTTATTTCAAACATCTAAAAAATCACTATTACAGGTGACACGTATCCGAAATTTTTTTGAAGTAAAATTAATATCACATATTTGCTTTTGTGGATTCCCTTTAATACTGTGAATAGAAGTGGGAATCGGTAAGGGGTTTTCTTCTCCATTAACGCCTTTTATTAGGTTCCTTTTGAACTTCTTCCACGAACTTTACGGATTAATGTCTTGGATCGGGTCAATTTGAGGCTGTATCTGTGGGTTTTGATGTAATTAGGTTTTGGATCGGTGATTTGCTGTGAAATATCGTGTTCATAAACGGTTTCACATCTGGTTGTTGACTCTTCCATAGCAGTGAGATTAACGGGGCCCCTTACACTATATTATAGGTGCAAATTTGTTGGGTTTTGAAGGTTCAGGTGTTTGCATACAGTGAATTTGTCTTATTTTTGTGGAAATTTGGTTGTGATTTAGGAATTGCATATCGATTAAAAACCATTCCAGCTCATTTTCAGGTAAAAAACCCTCACACCTTGCCCTTTCCACTCTGTAAGACCACCAGACATGGCGCTTCACCACTCTTTAACAAAACCGCTTCTCCTCCAAAACCTCCCCTCCAACAAACTGCTATCCCCACAAAACCACTACCCAGAACCGCTTTTCAGTAAAAAAATAATGAAATACCCAAGAAACCCCTTATCATTCTCCTCTCAACCTACCTTCTCTCATGACTGCGAAACCCTAAAATCCAATCTTCTCACCCCAAATTACCCCTCCAAAATCCCCATTTTGCCCCCCATCTTTTGTCTATTTACCGGCCTGGTTGAAGAGATCGACCACATAAAACACACGGGCTTCAAAGACGGTAACGGACTTCGATGCTGACGGCTTCACCGTACGATTGGCCCCGGAAACTCGCCGGAAAACCAACCTCGGCGACCTTTTGGTGGGGTCTCCGGTGAATCTGGAGAGGGCACTGCAACCTACGGCCAGAATGGGCGGGCACATTGTTCAGGGACACGTGGACGGCACAGGATCGATCGTGATGAAGCGGAAGGAGGGTGACTCGCTCTGGATGAAAATTAGGTTTCTGATGAGTTGATGAGGTACATTGTGCCCAAGGGGTTTATCGCCGTCGATGGGACGAGTTTAACGGTGGTAGATGTGATTGATGAAGAGGGGTGTTTTACCTTTATGTTGGTTGCTTATACTCAAGAAAAGGTGATTATTGCTAAGAAGGAGGGTGGGGATAGGGTTAATTTGGAGGTCGATATTTTGGGTAAATATGTGGAGAGATTGTTGAGGCTTGGCCCAAACCCTAACCATAAGCCTCAGTTTAGTGATTCTTCTTAATTTAATTTAATAAGAGAGTACTTGTCGAGCTACCTTCATCATTTGGACACAAGGTCCAGGTACACCACTTTAAACTGTAGCACACATCCTGGCTGCATGACATGCTGGCTGCATCATGTTAAACTGCTTCGCACAACAGTTCAAATTATACGACTTTAAATTATAGCGCACGATTTGGCCGCATGACGTTAAATTGCTTCATATAATAGTTCAAGTTATACGACCTTAAAATGTAGACCACGTTCTCATCTTATATATTTATAGCCCCTTAGGCTTATCTGCATATAAATAGGAGACATCATTTTATATACAAATTGTAAAAAAATAAAAAATCTTTGAGAAATATTGTAAAAAAAATCTCAAAGGGAAACCCTGTCTCGATTTGAAAATAATACCTCAAATACTATAAGTTAGCTTATTTCTTTTTCAAAATGGTGTAAATTGAAACATATTACATGAGAACGTTTAAATCAATCATGAAATTGACCTCTTGAGAACGTTTAAATCAATCATGAAACTTAAGAAGCGATGAATGACGGTAATATATATGATACAGAAGTTAAAGGTTGACCCATAAAAATCCTAATGAACATAGAAATCAAGCACAATTGCAAAAAAACTAATAAATATATATTGAACAACCAAAATTACAGCAAGATGACCACATTCATCGAAATTCCCCTATTGAAGTTTAATATTTTAGTAGATTTGGGGTGTTCCTGTAGGGTAAACAAATCTATACTAAATTTTATGGGTTCTCAAAGTAGATACCAAAGGAAATATTTTTAACAAAATCAGAAATTCATTCACAAAAAATCCAAGAAAACAAAATTCATATCGGAGCATATAAAATATATTTATATACACCACATTTAATTTAAGGAATATTTTGTGACATTAGGGGATTTATGCAAGGTTAGGAAATGTTTGTTAAATTTTATTGGCAATCTTTGTTAAACATTATTTGTTAAACATTATTTTAAGGAAATCTTACAAAGAACTATACATAAATATATACAAGAAACTTAGAAAGCCTAGATTTAATAAATTTCATTTACAATGACCAAGTAAATGTCGACAAAATTATTCTAGATTGCAGATTAAGAGAGAGATAGATGCCTACCGAAGTTGTGATGAGGCTGATGGTATCCTTGAAAGATACACTATAGATACCAAAAAACAGATTCAGATTGGAGCACAAAAAAAATATATATTCTTATAGCCAAATTTAGAGCTTCTGAAAGCTAGGAATTTCTGTAAGTTAGCAATTTTTTGTTAAATTTTGGTCGTTTTCAACACAGGTTTTTTTTTTCTTATTTTAAATATGCACCACATACATGGAAACCCTAGACTACAAAATGTCCTTCACAAAAACCAAAAGAAGAAGGGAAAAAAAAACCTAGATGAAAAAAATTTCATTGATAATAACCAAAATGAAATAATATTTCAGATTGGAGCGCGTAAAGATATCTAAAATTCCATTAACTCTGTTTTTATGAAATGCCATCGTAATAACAAATTCTAAGAGGCTTATTACTGATTACGAGAGAAACGGATATTACGGTTTTAACATTAATTCCACAAAATAAGAATAATTTTTGTATTTGGTATATTTTAGAGAAAAATAATAGATATCTCAGAGTTCTTATATTTTCCCTAAGAAACACTATCAGAAAGATTGTAAAATAAAATCTCATAGAGAAACACTAACTTGACTTCGAAAGAACGCTTCAAATACTATAAATTAACTTATTTCTTTTAATAAATGGTATAAATTTATCCTAGAAAATCTGGAACAAGAAGTCCAAATAAAAAGTCATAAATAATCAAAGCTTGTTTTTGTTCAATTGTAATTTGGAAGAGAAGTGTGATTTCAAAAGAGAAATCTCAAATACTATAAATTAGATTATTTTTTAAAGAGAAGTGTCATTTTAAAAGAGAAATATAGTTATCTCATTTTAAATGTAATTTACATACTATATTAATAAAAAAAAATAGTATAATTTCTTAGGTTTTTAGTCATTGAAGGTCTTTCAAACATCATCGAACTTGTATAGTTCGTTGCATATGTATAATTTTTTATGTATTTTAAATACAATCAAATGACATGCACCCCGCTAGTGTGAATAAACGGAGTGTTTCAAAAATGGGAATCGGGCCCCACTTGCTAGGGTCTATTTTGATTCGACCGGGTTGACTCGATCAATTATCAAGCTGATTGGGCTGTAGGTAATGTGGAAATAAGAAAAAACAAATAGAAATTTGGAGAATCAGGACGATTCTAGGAACTGTGGCACTAGAATTGCTAATCGAATGTTTTTTATTGGATTCTGTGTAATTCTGAGTTGAATCGACGATTTTTTTACCACGTTTATAGCTTGACTTTCTTAGAGTCGCTGCCATGTTTCCTTTTAGCCCTTACATGCAATAATATGTATATTTTTTTTACCCCCCATTGTATGAATCCATTGATCCTTCTTGTTTCAGACTTCAACTTCATCATTGGCCCCTCTCTCTCTCTCTCTCTCTCTCTCAGAACCCCTGCAAATTCCCCTAATGAGTTTGCATGTCATTTTCCCTGTCCCTTTAGATGGGTGAGGTGGGGCACATTTATGGTCCTTAGGACCTAAGCCAAGAACCCCTAGCCCTAAGCAACAGAGGTAATAGTGCCTTAAGTTGTAACCAATCAAAATTTCTACTCCAACATTTTGTTAGAATTACTTGCGGCCTTCCAAATTGCAAATAATGGTCTAAAATTTCTTGATAGTCCTTTAAAAATTGGTAAATTTCTCATTTGGCCCCTTAAATGACATGATGAGAGTCCTAGTGCTCAAATTTCAGAGATGGTTGGTGAACCTTTTACGTCATAGATATGGTGGCCTCTAAATTAGTTCGAAAACTCTACAACCATTTGGAAACAATGAAAAATGGGATTGCGTGAGACCATTTATCTCTCTTACAACGAAGTCACAATCATCGGCAGTTATTTTTTTAAACTTTGAATCTAGCCAATGATACTGTTACAACCACCCGATACGACAACAGTGATTGTGACATCATTGTATCAAGAGTAAATGATCTCTTTGTATACCTATCCATGAAAAATTGAGGTCCTCAAGTATTTGTTAAAACCAATGATTTAAAAATATGTGAATCGAACCGGACTCGCCCGATTCCACATGGGAATCGGCACTGCCCGTGCCGGTTCCAGCACAAAACCGGGAACTGTCCGGTTCTAAAGCAGAACCGTTGATTCGCTCCCGGTTCTAGCGATTCCCTCCTGGTTCTGTCCGGTTCCCATCCGGTTATGGCCGGTTCCCATCCGGTTCTAGCCTCAAAAGCACCTTCACACGTGTGTACGCGTCACACGTACGACACGCACCACTCCCACACGTGTGTACATGTGACACGAGCGGTACACACTCCCACACGTGCCACACACACTCCCACACGTGCGTGCCATACGCACATGCACACGAGTGCACTGGTACACACTCCCACATGTGCCACACACACTCCCACACGTGCCACACACACTCCCACACGTGCGTGCCATACGCACATGCACACGAGTGCACTGGTACACACTCCCACATGTGCCACACACACTCCCACACGTGCCATACGTGCGACACACACATGCGCGCGTGCACCGGTTCTAGCTGGTTCAGGCCTCAAAAAACACTTTCACACTTGTGTACGCGTCACACGTGTGTACGCATCACACGTGCGACACACACCACTCCCACATGTGCGACACGCATATGCACGGATGCTTTAGTATTTTCACACTTGTGTTTATCTTCCAATTACATAGTTATTTATATAGCATATTTGAATAATCATCATTCGATGTGGGATAATTCCCAAACCCCTTTTGAGCTAATTTTTGTTTTCTCTGGGGCGTATAATAAATTAAAGTGTTATTTTCAAAATTTGTACGCAGTTAATTATTTTTTACATTGATAACCAAATCTTTTATTTTATTTATTAATTTTTACATTATAAATCATGTAATGTACTATGTTTCTTACAGTTGTCAATAATACATTTTAAATTAGATAGTATTATAAAATATTTTTAATTTGTTATTATTTATCTAATAAAATAATTATAAAATGTAAACTAATAATTATAATTTCAGTATATAATATTATAATTAGTTAGGTTGTAATAATTTTGGATTATAATTAGTTAGGATATAATAATTTGGGTTTTTATAGTGGATTAGGGTTTTTCGTCAAAAAGATATTTTAATGGCCATTCTTTCATTAATTTAGTCTGCCCTTTGTTATAGTCCATGTATAATTATATATTTTATCCATGATAATTCTATGATTTTTCTTTTATGTGATGCAAATTTAATACTTAAGTTTATACAGGGAAATAACATCTCAATATTCACAAATTGATGAAAAAAATGAAAGTTAATAATGTAGTACCCTTATTTCTTATTGGATTTCTAAAAAACAACATTTATAATGAATTTTAATAATTTTTTTGGATTTTTTTGAAGCTTTAATCTGACCGATTCAGCCGATTCCCAATACGGGTCGCCGATTAGCCGATCCGGATCCGTTTTTGAGGTGCCCGATCTGGGTCACCGATCCACTTTTCAAACCATTGGTTAAAACAAAACTTATCTTATAAGAAATTTGCGAAAATTGGAGGAATTTTCAATCATAACCAATGAATTCGTTGATTTCAATGAAAACTATTTGCAACCTTGGTTACAAAAAAAAAAAAACACTGAAAAATATAGTCTCACGGGAGGTTTTGGCTTGTGGTTGCACGTTATCACGGGGCACAATGATGCAAATAAAAATTTGAGGTTTTTTATATTATATATTTTTAGATTTGGTATTATTTAGTTTTTTAAATTTATTAAGAATTTATCTTTTAGATAGAGAGAAATAAAAAATAATATCTTTGATGACATGTTGTAATATGTCAAAAATCAATCTTTTAGTTAGAAAGTCTGTGATAAACATGTAGCTAGAAAGCTTATATTTTTAAGGAAATAAAGGAGTTTTAGAAGGATATATAAATGTGTTTTTATTTATTTGTTTTATTATTTGAGTTGTATTTAAAGGGGAAAGGTCCCTATTTGTAAAATAGATCGGAGATTGAAATTGAGTAAAATTCATACAGTTAAAAAGATAGTTTTAGGGTGGCTTCCCTTTGAAAGGGTATATTATCCCAAATTTTTATTTTATTTTTATTTTTATAGCTTATTATTATTTCTCTACATCACACAGTATCCTTTCTGCATCACGTGTATTGTGAAAAGGTACACAAGCACATTTTTAATGGTTCAAATTAAAAACGACTGCATCCAATAGTCACAAAAGAGTTTTATAATTTTTATTTTAAACTGAAATTTATATGAAATTTAGTTATGATACATCAAATAATAATAATAATAATAAATATTTTATAAAAAAACTAATTAAAATATCTTTAATATACTCTAGGTGTATTTTGGTGAAATTTTTCATTCAAAAATATTTTTATTATTTTATTTATAAAAAGGGTGAGGTTTCTATATGTTTGTAACCTTAAACAATCAAATTAAGGTGCACCTCCAAATTTTATCATATAATTTTGGTCTAAAACATTATTAGGATTATCCGAAAATCTATCTTCATATCTAATTATAAAATTTTAAATTAAAAAAATGGTTAATATCAAGTAGATCTATAAACATATGAAGTTCTTAAAAATAGACGGTCTAGACAATGTGTTGCAAGATGCCTTATTTATGAGATGCAAAATATTTTTTTCTTCGTATTTATCCATCTCAATTTTGAAGGATCAACTAGAGGTTTTTTCAACATTAAAATAACATTTTTTGATGGATTTTTTAAGTACAGCTTTAATTTTATATTTTAAGGATGCAACTTTATATAAACTATTCATGTAAATGCATCGATATCCTAAAATTTAGAGAACTATTATTTTACTTTTAAAAATAAAATATAAACTCTGTCTAACACATTCCATGGCTGTCGTCTTAGGTTTTACGGGCTAGACCGAACGAAGCCGCGCCACCCGGTTTATTGGCACCCCCTACCCTAGTGAGAGTGACCCAAGGGGCTCGTGATTGTAATCTTGGAAAAAGGGGCATTTTGGTCGTTCCATATTTGTTGAGGTTGTCATGTATATTTTAAAAAAGTTCCGAGGTTATATCCGTCATTTCGGACAACCAGTAAAGAACTGGCAAGTGCCCATTATGTGGTCCCACGCACTGTACCGCTACGGCCCTACATCCGGTTGCAATTTGCCACGTTTCCGTCAAAAATGTGATATTTTTATCCCTATCCCTCTTCCTCTTCGCTTCCTTTTGTCAAATTCGTCTTCATCCATCACTCAACTCGATTGAGTGACATTTTGGAATCCGCCAAAACTACATAAATACCCTCTCCTTATCTCTCAAATTACGAGTCCATGCTACCTACTTTATTTAATGCGAGATTCCTACCATGCCCAAAATACCCCTCAACGGTCACAAAGGGCAGTATCACCGCATCCGGTGTTTTAAGAACGAGCAATTTTCCGCGGTTTGCGTAGAGCCTCCCTAAACAATCGAAATCAAATTAGAGCTTACCTTCAAATAGTGTCGAAAAATGTGCCTTCAATATTGTAAATTTTGTTGACAACTTTAAAACATATTTGTATTTTATTTATAAAGTTTAAAGCTTAAAAAATAGTATAAGTTGAGAGATCTATGAAAACTTCAAAATCTTAAAAAATTGACGGTCCAAAAAAGCGTCATAAAATATTCGATTTTCAAAACTTGAAATCATTTTTTTCTCATGTCCATGCATCTTGATGTTGAGATGATCAATTTGAAGATATTTGAGCATCAAAACAACCTCTTCAAGTGAATTTTTTGATGTAGGCTCGAATTTGATTGTTTAAAGCCTCGACTCTATATAAACTTTTCCCTTTTCGAATTGGATCACTGGATAGAAATAAATCGCGACCGAACTGGTATTGAGATAATACGGTCCCTGTCTGACCCTTCCTAAAATCTTGTATGTATTTTTCTTTTTTTCTCTTAATCTTATATAATATTTTTTTCATAACTCTCTAGATCCCCATCTTGTAAATATTTTATTTAATTATTACTTTATTTTATCGAGGAAAGTTCATATGGTTCAACCTTACAATGTAGAAGACAGATTGTATTAATGCTACAAAACCCTCTGGTTGATTATCATGACCTCTTCGAGATGTATGAATATAAAAAAAATTAATTTTATAAAATAAAAATAGTGCAATTTGTTGTGTATTATTGTCTAGATCGTCCCTTTAAAGGTTTTATGATTTGCTCAAGTTTAGAGTTTTAAAATTCACGATTTGAAACAAAATAAATTTTTAAGATATTTAAAAAATTCACACTTTATTTTTATTGTCATTTGAGTCTTATCCAAATCAACAAACCACACCTTATTTTATTTATTTTTTATATCAACAATTCAGACCGATCTAGACCTGATCCAGATTAACAATTAAACATTCGCACAAAAATATTTGGAGTCTACCCTGCCGATCTGGATATTAAAACCTTGCTGCATCCATTACAAACAACTGGGGCACTTTAGATATATTAATGGAAGAGATGTGATTCCCAGGTCATTTTTCCCGAATAAAATTCAAACGTACTCATGAACACCTTCGTAAATTATTGCAAATACAAGGGGTATTTTTGTAACAATCAAAAGCTTCACTTTAACGTGAGCGTGGTCTTGATACTGCACATTCGCCCTTTCTGGTTATTTATACACTCGATTGAATAGATCTTTGGGATCCGTCTTTTACTGGTTTCTTCTCCATTTGGAGGTCCAGAACCAGAGCTCTATCTGTAAAAACGGCCTGAAGTTCTTTGATTTCGGCATCAGATCCTTGCTGGCTTCTTTTAGTGTGCTGTTCTCGCAGTAAGCTGCATTTTGGTACCCGTTTCAAGGGTTTTCATGCTCTTTAAGGCTTTGATTTTATCGACAAATGCATACTGGTTCAGTAAGGCGTTTTCTTCTCCATTAACACCTTTTATCAGGTTCCTTTCGAACTTCTTCCATGAAATTTACTGATTAATGTTTTGGATCGGGTTAATTAGAGGCTGTATCTGCGGGTTATGATGCAATTAGGGTTTGGATTGGTGGTTTACTGTGAAATATCGTGTTCATAAACGATTTCACATCTGGTTGTTGACTCTTTAATAGCATTGAGATTTAACGGTTTTGCCTGGTTTTAGCCCTTACACACTATATTATAGGTGCAAATTTGTTGGGTTTTGAAGGTTTAGGTGTTTGTGTACAGTGAAATTGTCTTATTGTTGGGGAGATTTGGTTGTGATTTAGGAATTGCATAACGATTGAAAACCCTTTCAGATCATTTTGAGGTGTTTGGTATTTGAGATATGGAGTTTCCTCCCCAGTGGAGAGATCTACTTTTTGGTTTCAGAAGTCGCATAAGGATCTTCAGCTAATGCTTACTTCGTATTCAGCTATATTTGGTTATGTTTTGGTGGTTGTTGGATACTTTGATGTTTCTTCATTGATGACGTTGAGATTGTGTTAAGACTAAGAACACTTAGGTGAAAATTTTCTTACTTGTTAACTTGCAGTTCTTGTGATCTAATGCAATAGCAACTGGAATCGTATTGCAATATTTTGCATGCTCGTCATATCTTTTGATTGAAGGATTTACTGTGTTTTCTGGAGTGGAATCAAAAGTGTGTTTGAGCTTGTCTTTCAATCCAGAGACAAAAGCATATGGAACTTCAGCCAGTCCTCTAAGATTTGCCTGTCATTCAGCAGAAGAGGGAAGTTTTGATGCTGTAGTGATAATCAAAGATCTATTTTGTTGTCCTAAGGTTGAAATAATCGGAGAGGGTATGTTGTTTGAAATTGGCTCAGCTGAATTTGTTAAATGCTAAGTGTTCAGAGGACTAAATTCTTGCTCTGACAGGGGTTGAGGTGAAAAGTGTTTAGTATCTCATGTTTTTTGTCTAAAAGCTGGTAAAACAGGATTGCTGTTTTGTACCAATTGTTATTGTTTGGGCTTCTTTTAGAATCTGCTACTAATTTGGCAGTGAGTAGTCAGAGCAAGGTAAGATCTTTGCTTTGCTTAAGTGAAAGAAAGAGGGTCCTAAGAAATTTGTTTTACAGCTGGTGCCTGATCCTTGTTTTTGGAAAAGGGAAGAAGGCAAGCAGAAAGCTGATTTAAGGATCCAGTTAAAGGTTGTGGTGGGACTCTGCGGTTATAGTGTTATGGAAACCCTAGTTGCTTTGTCTTCTGAAAGATACATCAATCACCATGAATCACAGACTATGCATTACAAGAGAAACAGATCTCGGAACCCAGAAGAATTCAGTTCGGATTGTGCTATGAGCTATAAAGAGCTCAACTGTAGAACTTTCCATTCTCGACCAGGTATTCTGCAGTCCCCATCCGCTCTTACATCAAGTTCTAGGCCCAACTATGCCATAAATGCTGGGTCTAAAGAGCATGACAAAAATAGAACCTCAAGAAGTAGCAATAATAGCTATTTGGGTTCTAAGAAGAACAAACAGAGCAGCTTGGTTCCTATTGAAATGACTCCACCTGGTAACAAAATCAAGCCATTTGCTAATGAAATTTCATATCAAGGAGCTGGTGGATTCTCCTCTTCATCTGGGCCTGCCTCGAAACAATCAACTAGTAAGAGTGGTAGTGGGGTTGGGAAGACAAGTAAGCATAGCAATCCAATTCCTATCAATGTCACACCTACCTTTTACAGAAACAAATCAGCCATTGATTATCTCTCTGACATGAATGGAGATGCAGATGTGTTCAACTCCCCCGAGCTTTGGGCTGGTCCAACCTATTCGAACTCCCCCCCTCCAAGTTCCCTTCCAATCCCCAAATTCTCTCTTCGCCAAAAGAGAAGTAATTCTCTTGATTTTCCTCCTGCAGAAGCTGATGTTACTCTCCCCACATTTGCCAAATCTGCTCCCCCTTCTCCCTCGAGGGATCCATGCCCTTCTAGTGATGGTTTCTTCGATGATATTGCTTCTGCTACTCAGAATTTGAGGCGCATTCTCAATCTGAATCTTGAAGAGGATTGAGTTTGCAACACTGGAAATGACATTGCACACTGTAAAATATGTGTATAGAAAGTAAGGTTGGAACCAATAAGGTGTAGTCCTTTTTACCAGATCGTTTTAGAGTTTTAGCATGTAGAAATTGTGAAGTGGATGATGGGGTGACTTAGGCTTTGATTGGAAGGTTCTTAAGAACTTTGGGTACCTATTAGGCTGCGGTGGGTTCTCTCATAATCTGCCTTCAGTTTAGTGATCCTCATCCTCACTTGCACATTTGGTTTTTTCTCCTCTATTTTTTCTTTTTATATTTTCTTACTTAGTAATTGCTGTAGACTTTACCCAGTTAACCTTTTACTTAGGTTTATTTCAGATTTACGTTTTTCACTTGTTTTTCGCAGTGTAAATAAACATAGGATCCATCTCTTTTGCCATCTCCTGACCTTTTAGGTGTAGCATTTCTCTTCATTCACTCCATCCTCTCTGAAATACTCGTGGTTTCTTCTTAATTGGCTACCTTTTTCTTTTTTTTTTTCTTTCCCTTTTTTATTTCTCTTCTACCTTTTCACACCTCTGCAATATCTTCCTGGGTATCATAAGTCCTGACTCTGAATCTAACCCCTTTTCCCTTTTTCCCTGGGTTTTTTGAAATGGGAAAATTGGGCGGGGAAACCTTGATTGTTTTCCTTCTTTTTCCTTATTTCGTCTGATTAGATCAGTTTTTATTCTCTCTTCTATCTGGGATGGCAAAGGGTTTAGAGTCTGAATCAAGTTCAATGGTTCTTCTGAGAAAGTGCTGGAAAGCGGACATTACAAGGTAATGTTTTTTTTCTTTGTATGATGACCAATTAAACACCTATCTTCCTTTGAAATTACAAGTTGTTATTTTATATGACCATTGTTGCATTTTCTTCATTGAAACTGTCTTTAAATTCAATTTTTAGCACTTACAATCATATTCAATCTTTTTATTGGTTTTGTTTTGGGCAAGTTTTCTTTAGATCTTTAAAAAAAAAAAAACAAGGTAAATTTTTTTTCTTTGTATTTTGAGTGTGTTGCTCATATTTTGATGATCAATTAAACACCTATCGTCCTTAGAAATTGCAAGGGTTTGTTACTTAGACCAATGGTTCATTTTCTTCTTTGAAACTGTCTCTAAATTCAATTTTTAGTACTCGATATCACATTCAATCTTTTTTATTGGTTTTGTTTTGGGCAAGTTTTCTTTGGATCTTAAAAAAAAAAAAAAACAAAAGGACCAATGCCATTATTCTTTTCAAAATGAATATTGGTCTTTAAAAAGATTGCAATTTTGGTAAGCTATTTCTTTTTCCAGTTCCATTTTCGAATGGTTATGTTTCTTGTCCCAATCTGCAGGCACCGTTTGGTTTTTCGGTTGTGGCTGAAGATCTGAAGATTTTTTTTCCTTGAAGGCGTGTTATGTTCCTTGGAGGAGCTCTGTCAGGAGTGAGTTTTACCAGTGGAGACCACTCTATGTCATGCTAGTCTCTTTTCTGGGGGTTGATGTTTTCTTAATGTTCCAGTTTGTTGTAGTTTGTTCATTTTGTGTTTGCTTGCTAGATGGTGTTATACGCAGACTGTTTCTATCGTTGTGAAGGCTGTCCTGTGATGTGAATTTGTTTGGCTTTTTTTCTCTTTCTGGATTTATCAGATACTCATTTGATTATTACAAGATGTTTTGGATTAGACATTGGTGTTGGTATGAAATATATTTTCCTATGCTTCTCTGTTTTTTAATGGTACAGTTTTGAAGAGTGTAAGATCCCTTGTAAGGAGATAACTTTGTAGTTCATTTGTTCTTACCAGGTTTGTCCAGGTTTTTAACCTTTTGGTGTGGGGTGGTCGTTAATCACTCGTAGAGCTGTTGGATGTGAAATTGGATGGTTGGTTGTGTTATATTTTTTACATTGGAGAAAAATAATTTTGTGCATAATCAATGCCACCCCTTTAGCTGCCCAGTTTTACATCTTGACTGTCTTGTACCAAAAGTAAGAGGTCTCCACTGCTTCGATCGACACTTCTTTAAATTCATTAATATGTATGGATTCCGTGTATGCCCGATTTTACTTCTAAAGTCGGGTGAAAGACTTTTCCTACCAAAATTAGGAGGTTTTGCTGTATGTATTTCCCCATGCCATATGGCGCGAGAAAATGAAGCTGAGGGGGATTGCTTTATAAATATTGGAGAGGTGAGAATCCGTGTTTTCCTACAATGTTTTCGAAGCTAGACTGGCCAAGTGGATATGTCCTTTTGCTACTGATTTGGATTGTGATGATCCACGGTCCAGATCAAATCTCATTAGGATCAGAAGCACTTCGGTGGTGGAGGCCCTGAGACCCTAAAGGTAGGTAGGGTTGAGATTGAAATTCAATGGGGATATTGGCTGAATAAATCAAACAGTTTGTCCTAATCGTTAGCAGATAAAAATCTCTGCAGGTTATTCGAATTTTTCAGTAGGAATGGCGACAATAATGCCTTTTAGCTGAATCTAACATGAAGCAAGCCAAAAGAAACCTTTGAGGTACAGGGGATTCCTATTGGACTTCCACAGCTTTTGTCTTTTACCCATAGAGTTGATTTCTCAGAAAAATTTGAGAAACAAGGGAGGATGTGAAACTCTGATAATGATGGTTGAAATTTGTAAAGAGAAAAGTTTATATAGAGCTGAGGCTTTAAACAATCAAATTTCAGCCAGCCTCAAAACTTTCACTAGAAGAGATTGTTTTGATGCCCATATATTTTCAAATTGATCATCTTGACATTAAGATGCATGGACATGAGAAAAAAATGGATTTCAAGTTTTAAAAATATAGTGTCTTTTGTAACACATTTTTGGATTGTCAATTTTCAATATTTTCAAGTGTTTATAGATCTGTCTATCTATATTATATTTGGCTATCATAAAGATTTTAAGGCTATCATAAATATTTTCAGTATTAAAAGTGACACCATTTGAAGGTAGGCTCTAATTTGATTGTTTAGAGCTTAGGCTCTGTACAAACCACACCCATTTGTAAAACACTGTCTTTTATTTTATTTTAGATGATATATTATTGGTGTCTTGAATGTGTTGAAAGCAGTGTTTTAAAAAACGTCGAGTCGAATCGGAAATGGGGATCGGATCGGATAAGAAATCGGAAATCGTCCGGTTCTAGAGAGAACCGGACGATTCTGCACAGCGATTCGTCGAGTCACTGTGCGGAATCGGGGAGTCCGTGAAGAATACGGGTTGCACAGTGTTCTTCACGGGATTCTTTGAAATTTGTCATTTTTTGATTATTTTTTTTGTTTTTTTTAGCATGTGATCTAATTTGCCGACTGTAAACAGCTTTATTCAGCTTTTTCAAGGATTAAATAGTTGAAAAATTTGGTGTTTTTGGATCACGAAAAATTTGGTGTTTAGGGTTTTCGCCTTTTCTGAAAGTTTCATGCCAAATAGGGCATGAATTTTTCAAAATTTGTAGGCATTTTGATCTTAAAGCTGTGAATCAAAACCTTTTGTTACTAATTTGTGATAATCGTTGAGAAAAACAGAGTTTTTTGGAGATTGAAGGCTTCGGTTCACAAAATCAGGTAAGAAGTTTGGGTTTTTTTTTTTTCCGCCATTTGATTTATTTCACGGCATATTTTGAACATAATGAGTTCAATAATTAGGGTTTTTAATCTTTATTGTGTCTAGTATGATTTAAAATTTTCAATTTTACGTAATCTGGTCAATTACAGCATGAAATTTGAGATGAACACTGAGATGTCTGCGGAACCAAAATTTCGTTGTTTTTTTTTTTTTTCCGCCTTTTGATTTTGTTTTCATGATATATTAGAAATAATGTGTTAAAAATTAAGGGTTTTGATTCCTTATATTGTTGTTTATCAGAAAATATACTCAATTGGATGTAATTTATTCACTTAGAGGTGGATTTTTGAGTTAAAATCGCTTATGTAAAACGGCTCTGTGAAGAACAGATTTTTTTTTTTGTAACCCATGATAGAATTATTTGTAATCCATGATCGAATTTTTTGTACTCCATGATCGAAATGTTTGTTTTTTTTTCTTGTAATCCATGATCGAATTTTATTTTTTATTTTTTATTTTTGTAACCCATGATAGAATTTTTTGTAATCCATGATCGAATGTTTTGTAATCCATGATCGAAATGTTTGTTTTTTTTTTGTAATCCATGATCGAATTTTTTGTTTTTTATTTTTTATGTAACCCATGATAGAGTTTTTTGTAATCCATGATTGAATTTTTTGTAATTCATGATCTAATTGTTTTTTTCTTTTTTTGTAATCCACGATCGAATCTTTTTTTTTTTTTTTGTGTTTTGTTTTTTTAATCCA